CCCAGCAGCAGCAACAACTGAAGAAGCTACAGCAACAGAGCAACTCAAATACCAAGTAAGTAAAACCCCACTACTAGTCCTGTTCCTTTGAACTCTTTACCCTGTTTTCTTCTGTTTCATTTTCAAAATCCCATCTTTTTTCCTATAGACTCGAATCAAAATCCAATTTTGATGATTAATTATCTGCAGACATGGAACCTCAAGGTCTCAATCCACTGTGAAGGCTGCAGGAGAAAAGTCAAGAAAGTTCTCCAGTCCATTGAAGGTTTGAAAAGAGAGAGAGAGAGAGAGAGAGAGAGAGAAATTCCCAGAACCCACCATAAAAATCCATTTTTTTTAATAAAAAAAAATCTCTATCCTTCTCCCTCACCAAAAACTCAAAACTTAATTTCTCTTGAATTTTTTTTTTGCAGGAGTGTACATGACCACCATAGATTCACAGAAGCAGAAGGTGACTGTCACCGGAAACATAGGGCCTGATACCCTCATCAAGAAGCTGGTCAAGACCGGTAAGCCCGCCGAGCTCTGGCCCGAGCCCGAGCCCAAGCCCAAGCCCGACCCCAACAATGGCAGCAACAAGAATAAGAACAAGAACAAGAATCAGCCCAAGCCCAACACTGAATCCTCGGATACCCAAGAGCCAAGAGAGCCGAAAGAGCCGAAAGAGCCAGAGCCAGAACCAGAGCAAAAGAACTCACCACCAGATGAAGCTAAAGAGCCTCCAGCCGAAGGAAAGAAGAAGAAGAAGGGCAAAAAGGGAAACAGCGATGATAATGGGAGTGAAGCTAAAGAGGCCCAAGCCACAGAAACCGCCGCCGCCGCCGCTGGCGGCGCCGCCACCACACCAGCAAGAGTGCTGCAATTTACCAATGTACCCTTGCCGCTGACGGCGGCGGCTCCGCCGCAGTATGTGGTGAGCTACAGCGCCATGCAGCCGGCGATGGCCGGCCTCTACTGCGTTCCGGGGACGGCGGTGGCGGGCGGTGGAGCTCGATTTCTTCACTGAAGAGAACGCTGGTGCATGCAGCGTCATGTGATGTCTCGATCTGCTGTGGGCTTTCATCAGGAGTTTTTGTTGTGAGAGGAGTTTTGAGAGCAGATCGAGAGTGATCAGGTAGCATGGAGAATATTGAAGTTGAGAGTTTTGTTATGTTTAATTAGTGGGTTTTAATTAGATGTTAATTAAGGATGTTTAGTTGTTATGAACTTTTGATGTGAATTAATTGTTGCTAATTAAATGCTTTTTGTGTTGTTATGATTGTGCTCTATATGTAAAGAAAAATTCCCAAAGACCCAAAATATGGGACCAACAGGGAGAACAGGTGAGGTGTCCTCTTCCTATTGCATAACGAGCTGATCATTATTAACGATGATCGGTGTATTATGCAATAGGAGGGGGACGCATTACTTGTCCCCCTGTTGGTCCTATATTTTGAGTCCTCGTAGCAAAGCCCAGAAATTGGCGGATCATTAGTGAGCGAAGGTGGTCTGATGGGGGGAAAAAGAAGAAAGAAAGAAGAAAAAAGAAGCAACTCAAGTTGGTGCTCAGTTGTCATGATTAATTAGAAGAATTTAGTTCGAGGTTAAAGTTGTTAGTTTCAAGCTGTGGGTTCCCACTGTTGTGTACTTCTTGTTGTCATTATTGCCAAATGTTTTTTGTCATCGTCACTATATTTGTGATAGGAAAACACTAAAGACACACCTTGTGCTACACCTTGGGGCACACATTCCTCTCTCAGCTACAGTACAGGGGTCCACTTGAGATTTTTAAATAAATCTCAAATGGACCATCTGCACTGTAGCTGAGAGAGGGGTGTGGCCTAAGATGTGGCACAAGGTGTGCCTCTAGTGCCACCCTTTGTGATATGGAGTTTGTAGCACACTTGAGGTCATCGAAGCTGAGGGTGAGGCCAAAACCAGAGGAGAGTTTAGGATTTTTGAAAAAGTGGCCTCACTATGAAATTATATTATTAGAAATTTTACAATTGTCTCTGATGACTTTTTATGTTTTGAAAAAAAAAGTATGTAATTGCATTATTAGTGACGCTATTAGATACATCTCTCTCGATATATGTCACTAAGAAATCGTTGAGGGAATCATCACTCATTTTGTATCCCATAATTTGCTCTTTTATCAACTTCATTGTTAAAAAAGCTAAAAAGCTCTCTCCACGATTATCATAATCATGGCCAAAATCCTCAAAAATCTTAAATTCTATATATACATAAAAAAAACAATAATATAACTCACCATCAGAGAGGAGGAGAAGTTAGGGCGGACGAGGAGGTGGACGAGTTATGGCAAAGTCATCAATAAAGTTTGAAGAGAGCCTAGAGGGTCATTAATTATGGATATATATATTTAGATTTTTAATAACGTTCATCCAAATGTTAAGGGAAAAACGAGAGAGAGAGAGAGAGAGAATATTAGTAATGCAAAAGATTTCTCAGAGATGTATGCCCATGCATATGCATATTACAAACCAATAATAGAGAAATAATTTGTTTGACTTGTCTTTAACAGCGTGTATTTTTCGGTTGAGAACCCTTGGAAACCCATGAAAACACCCTAACACTAATAGAAAATGCAAGAAAAACTTTTCATGGGTTTCTGATTTTTATGTTTGGTTCAAAAAAAATTTAAGAAAAGATTTCGTAAATGATGGGAAACACTAATTTTACAAGGAAACTAAAAGTGAGGAGATGGGCATGGAAAAAGTTATAAATGTAGGATTTTCGTATTTAAATAATGAATGATCGTGGGGAGGTATTAAATTGTAACAATTATACAGTAAAGAAAAGACTTCCATCTCAATTGATTTCTTATTTTTTGGCTATGAAACCAAATAAAGGAGTGGGGAAAAAAAGATTCCACCTCATGTTTCCATGTCGAGACAAAAAAAAGTACCCTAGAAACACATAAAAAGAGGTTAACATAGATTTTTTTTTTACTACTAGAAAGTATTTTCTTTTTGGTTGGGGGTTGGGGTTGGGGGGGACAATTGAACGGAAAGATGAATCAGAATTTCACTTGTCAATTCTGATTCAAGTGTTTTTCTGCAAAAAGATCCTCTCAAAAACACATCAAACTTGCAACTTCAAAAGATTCATAATTTCTATATTTAATTAGCAAGATCTCATGAAATGACAAGACATAGACAAGTCATATCTTAGGGACCCCAAATGTTCCATCCTTTTGTGTTCTATATGCTGACATAGCATTTGATATTGCTAACTACTTTGAAAATGTTAATTTCAGAAAAACCCTCGAAACTTTAGAAAGTGTTGCACATAACTCTTCTAAATTTTGTTTATCTTACTTAACCACGCCCTCTAAACTTTACTTATCTCACCTAGCCTTGTATGTAATTTGTAAATAAGTAAAAAAAATTTTAGGGAAAAAACACAAAGATTAGGAAGGGAGCATGTTGCGTGTAAATGACAAATGATAAATTTTGAGATTTTTTTCACTCAAAGATATTTTAGTTATTTATAAATTACATGCAGGGAGGTTATGTGAAATAAGATAAAATCTAGGGGAGTTTTATGGGATATCCCATAGTTTAGGGGTGTTATGTGCGACAACTCTGAAAGTTCAGGGGGGTTTTGTGAAATTAACCCTTTATTAGGCGGATGCTTATTCTTCGTAATAATGTAGCTATTATAGTTGCGGACTTCTTGGACATTGTTTGTCGTGCACTTATTTCATGTTAATTTTAAATTTGTATATACAAGAAGACAAATGCCAAAGTTTTAAGAATCTTGGAGTATATGATGGGTCTAAGTGCATGTCTTTTAATAGAGCAGTGTTTTATAGTGTATTTGCTTCATAAAAAATGTCTTGAGTGTTGATGTGCTGACCTTTATTGTTCTACAGTAGGTAGGGTTTTGAAACTTTTGAGAAGCACATCATAAAAGTTCCCCATAGATTAAGCTTTTTTTTTTTATAAGGAACAATGATATACACGATGAATGTCTAGATAAAAATCTCGTTGATATTGGTAGGTATATTTTAATTCATAACGAATCTGGATTCTCTTCTCATGCATAGTGTTTCCTAATGCTTCCTAATGCATCCATCCCCTCCATCACCCTCTATCCCTTCCAATGGGCCCCACATGTGTAAAATGAATGGTCAAGATTGAACATTAGGAAATATTTGGACACCATGCATAAGAAGAGGATCCCACTTTATCTTGTGGATGCATGAGTAGGGTATTTAATTACGCAGGAGAGGCATTTTCAGATTCCTTCAATCATTATAGTCTATCTCAATTCCAATAGATGAGAGTCATGCTATTTAGAATTTTCATTATCACAAATAGTTGTTTTGCATGAGTAGGATTTTGAAAGCTCAGTACTTCCTCGGTATAACTTCAATCGTCTTCACATCCCCCTTGTCTTTATCTCTTCTGAAGGGATAATGTTTTCACTAGCGAGCTTGTATCATCCAAATAATATCATAGTAAAGTCATGAGGTGAGTATAGGATGATGTTAGGGTTGTAAGAGGTGAGTGTAAATCTAAATAATCAAATGAGTAAATTTATATAGGTTGCAAGTAAGGGCTATTATGATAAATAAATAAAAACAGACTCTTTGAATTTCATAACAGTCAAATGTAATTTCGTAAATAAAAACTACAATTAAAAATGTAACTCTCATTTCAAGTATGCATGAATGCATGCACTAATGGCATTTTAAGTTAACACTTTATTTGCAAATTGAAAGGTATATTATTAGTTTGTCATATGTGCGTTTTAAGTGGAAGGGTTACAAAAATAGAAGTTAATATTAGTGGACAATTAATAGGAGAGTTGTGCCATTATTAAGAATGTATGCATGTTAGCATTTTAAGTTGACACTTTGTTTGCAAATTGAAACATATATTATTAGTTTGTCATATGTGTGTGCATTCAATTCTCAGCTATTATGTTGGGGGTTATGCATTTTAAGTTGACACTTTGGGAGTTATGAGTATACATTTAATTGGGGTTATGACTTGCACGTTTATGACTTTTAAAGTAAAATTATTTGGGAGTTATGAGTATGCATTTAATTGGGGGTTATGCTATAATTTATGTATGGATGCATGGATACATGTATTTTATGTATTATGAGTATGCATTTAATTGGGGTTATGCTATGGTTTATGTATTGATGCATGTATTTTATGTATGTATGTATATGTTTTAAAGGGCATTTTCGGAAGAAATGTTTTAACATCCCGCCAATCCACTTTTATAATAATATTAGATTATGACTTTTAAAATAAAATTATTTGGGAGTTATGAGTATGCATTTAATTGGGGGTTATGCTATGATTAATTATTTGGGAGTTATGAGTATGCATTTAATTGGGGGTTATGCTATGATTTATGTATGGATGCATGGATACATGTATTTTATATATTATGAGTATGCATTTAATTGGGGGTTATGCTATGATTTATGTATGGATGCATGGATACATGTATTTTATATATTATGAGTATGCATTTAATTGGGGGTTATGCTATGGTTTATGTATAGATGCATGTATTTTATGTATGTATGTATATGTTTTAAAGGGAATTTTCGGAAGAAATGTTTTAACATACCAATCCACTTTTATAATAGCATTAGATGTGATTGAACACCAGTTATTTTCTTTTTATTTGTTTGTACTGGTTATGTTCTCTTATATGGCACCGTCTGAACTATTTAAATGGATTAGAAGATGTATCCAGTTTTATTACTGTCATTCTTTAATCTAAATAAGGGTGGCTTTTCAAACTAATGTTTATTTTTAAAATAATAATTATTTAGCATAATAATTTGTTTAGAATCTTCAAATTAAAATAATTCACGAACCTAAAATTTAGTCCAAGGGTCGAAGTCTCAGTTTATGAATCGAGAGAAAAAGTTCAGACGGTGGATCCGCCTATAGGCTTTTATACAAAAATGGGCCCAGCCCAAACCCAATTTACGTACAATATAAAAAAGGGTCTTTAAACGAAACCCGACCCGCTAACCTATGAAAGCCCAAATCTAAAAGTCCTCTCCGCCTCTCGATCGATCGATCGATCTCTCCCCCAGCCCAAACCCTAATCTCTCTCCGACTCTCTCGAGCGCCGCCAGCCCTCCGCGGCGACTCCGGCCACCACCGCAGCCACCTCCTCCTCTTCTTTTTCTAGGTAAATTTTTTCAAAATTTTCTCCTTTTTTTGGGGTTAATTTTCCATCTATATTTAGTTAATCTTTGGAGAAATTCACACTAAATGTTGTAAGAGTGTTATTGAGCCGTGATGGGGAGGAAGAGGACAGAATTTTTGCTTCTTGCCTTTCATATTAATTAAATCTTGGAGAAATTCGTACTAAATTGTTATCATCATGCTCTTGTTATAATAATCGTTTTCATATGCATTTTTGTGCATAAGGGTTGGTGTGCTAGGAAGCAAGGGTTAAGAATTAAAGATATAGAAGCCTAAATCAATCATGTTTTAGTCAATTATTATGATTAAATAGTTTTTTTTAAATAGACAAAGACTAGGCGCTAGGCGCCGGTTCAAACGCGTAGTCCGTCCGGTCTAGCGCTTTCTCTAGCATTGATCAGAGGTAATGTATTAGCCCTAGGAATCGATCGCCCCTCTGTTTGTTAAGTTCATCATGGCGTATGGAATTATTATCATTATTATTATTCACATGCTGTCTGCTCATTATGTCATGTTTCGGTGTTCTTTATTATGGAGGTACTATTTTTGGGTGAATGCCCCCCCCTCTCCCCCCCCCCCATTCGTTAGCCTTTATATGGTTGAGAACATGTTTTATGGTTCCATTTTTTTTAGTTTTTCTATGTCGTATTTGCATGTTCCTTGTGTACACATGTAATTAACTGTTTGTTTTTTTTTGTACCAAATAATTGTTTAATTCAAAAGCAAAAAACACTAAACAGGTATCAAATAATATGTAGTCATGCTAAAGCGATTTGTCAATTGTACTAATGCTTCTTGTACCCTTTTTCCAGTTCATAAGGTTACAGTTGAGCCTTCAGTTGTGTGATCTTATTCGTTTTCAAAGCAGGAAATGGGAGAAAGGAAGGTTCTAAACAAATATTATCCGCCGGATTTCGATCCGGCGAAGATCCCAAGGAGAAGGCAGCCGAAGAACCAGCAGATAAAGGTGAGGATGATGCTTCCGATGAGTATCCGGTGCCAAACTTGTGGGACCTACATATACAAGGGGACCAAATTCAATTCCCGAAAGGAGGATGTAATCGGCGAGGTATGATTTGAGTTTTCTCTTTGGCAGTGACAAAGCTGCATTTTGTATAAATTTTTATGAAATTGCTATTAAATGATTGTGGAAATCTTCTTAGCCTAGAGAATTTAATCAGCTCACTAATCAAAACAAGCATTTTAATGACTAATGTAAAAAATTATCATTGAACTATTAAAATAATTGGGGTGTGGAAAATGATGGCCTGCTTGGACTTCTCTAAGATATTGAAAGCCATGTCTAAAGATGTTGAAGTAAAAGGGAAATAGAGTTAAAGTGACTTCTGGCTAACATGCTAGTGAGTTATGGGATAAAGTGTGTGTTCCCTTACTTGGGTGGACTCGTATGACTCTAAATGTATTGCCTTCAGGCATCATGTTAATTAATAAAATTTCGGACTGCCTGCATTCTATCTTCATGTTGCCGAGGTGACATGATGTGATCGAAGTGTTTAGATCTGAGCATTAACTAGAAATCTATATTACATTGTGGACTTAAAAGAATTTAAATGCATATTGCTCTTCTTTGAGTACATGACTCCTGTTCTGGCTATTTTGGCAAAAGCATCAACTCTTCATCCCAATTATTTATTACTGGGAAGATATGTTTAGAAACTAATCTTTTTACCAATCTAAACTTGCAGACGTATCTGGGGATCCAAATCTTCAGATTCTATTTCAAGTGTACGAAATGTTCTGCGGAGCTGACTATAAAGACCGATCCGCAGAATTCAGACTATGTTGTTGAGTCTGGAGCAGGCCGCAATTATGAGCCTTGGCGTGAAGAAGATGAGGTGAGTGATCTTAAAATTGCGAGATAACATCATTGCACATTGTGTTATGCCTATTCTACATATTCTTAATCTATGACCTCTACTGAAATTTTGTTATAACCTATCATTGTGTTTGTCAGACAGTAGATAAAGAGAAGCGGAAGAGAGAAGCAGAAGAGATGGGGGATGCAATGAAGTCACTAGAGAATAGGGCAATGGATTCGAAACAGGACATGGACATTCTTGCCGCCCTTGAGGAAATGAAGTCAATGAAGGTATAGATCTTAAATATCAGCTCTGAGTAATTTTATTGCATCATTCATGTCAACTAGAGGATATAAGGAAGAGATTGGTGATAAACTGCTAGATTTTCTTTCTTTTCCCTCCAAACTCTTACAATTTTGTGGATTCATAATTGCAGGTAATCTTCCATTCTCATCCTTTTAATTCAGCTATACTAACTTGTCCATTTTTATTCTACAGTCCAGACATGCAACTGTGAGTGTTGATGACATGTTAGAAACTCTGAAGCGCTCAGCATATGAAAAGGTATGATTTTTGGCCGTATGCTTCTACTATGCTTCTTTTTTAACATATATATCGAGGTTTGGCGGTGGATTACGGTTTATATGTGGATTTTGTTTGTAGTTCAACATTACGTCTTTAATTAGCACCTAACTAACAGAGTGGCATAGGTAGGATCTCAGTCTCGTGCACTTTGTATATCATACATTCTCCTGTTTAAGATTATTCTGTAGAATGACACTGATAAATATATATTGTCCTTTCTATATATATATAAATATGTACATTGCAATTAGGTTAAATATTAGGCATATGACTAGTTAGGTATCTTTAACATTCTAAAAGAAGGTTGTAGGTGAAGTAAATAAGTGAAGCACTGGCACATGATTTTGTTCTAGTGAATTCTACATCCATGTAAAAGATAATCCTAAGCTGTCAGTGAATTGCTAATATTTGAGTGTGACAGGGTGACAGCTATTTGATGTAGGGTGGAAGTGCTACTGGCAATGTGTGGATGTATTTATAGTTTGTTAGTGAGAATTTTATATTTCTAATATTTTTTTTTTGCAATTTGAAGCACTACACTGCTGCTAATTTTCTCTGTTAGCAGCAATCATGTTTGCAGTTGTATTTGCTGCTCCACATGATCTTAATCATAATACCTAATAAACATTTTTTCCTTTCCAGGAGAAAAGGATTATGGAAGAAATAGATAAAGCAGATGAAGAAGTTATCAAATCTATAGTATTTCCGGTCAGTATTACTTTTATTTATTGTCGTGACAGTTAAAACTTTTTTTATAAAAATTGGCTTGTAAAAATGCTAACAACCAAATCGTACAGGGCTCAAAAGATTTTGTTCGACGGATACAGGATGATGAGGATGAAGATCTTGATGCTGATTTTGACCATCCATCTTCCAGTTTGAGTCAATCATCGGAGAAGAATTTGGAGGTACTTATTGCATATTTCCTATTTGATTATTGCTCTATGATCTGAAATGGTTGTTTTCAGAAAAAGCTGCCTTCATCATTGATTTCATTAAACTTCAGTCGTTACAAATGAATTCAAATAACAAAGAAATAAAAATTACAACTTTCTTGAAAATAAACGCAAGATCCGTTTATCGTCTCTTGCTTGCGTGGGTCTTTGGCCTGTGACGGGGACGTTGATATCCGTGGACCACCTGGCACTCAGATCTGTTCCGAAAAAATCGGACAGAGCTTCGTTGATCCGCATGAGATCTAGAAGCTTGAAGCGTCTATCTCGGCTAAAACGAGATATCTGCTCTTCTTAGTGATTACCGGCGAAGGGTAATACTAAGGAAAATGGGGAACGGGTGATGAAGACTCTGATGAAGACCTCTCCTCTGTTGAAGCGCTCGACCACTCTTTACTGCAGCAGGGCTTCGCCAACTTCTCCAAAAATCCAGCTCTACAAAAATGAGGCCCAAGGGGGGCTATTTATAGGCAATGGGGAGCACCTAGGGTGCCTAGACACCCTAGAGTGTCTCAGAAAATCCGAGACACCCCTAGGGTGTCTCGGAATTTCCGAGACACCCTGGGGTGTCTCGGAATTTCCGAGACACCCCTGGGGTGTCTCGGAATTTCTGAGACACCCCTTAGGGTGTTTTGGAACTCCTGAGACTTCGTTGAGGTGTATTCGATTGTTTTCGCCATAAATTCTTCGTCTGAACTCGGATTTGAGTGATTCCAAGTGCGTTGAGGTGTATTCGATTGTTTTCGCCATAAATTCTTCGTCTGAACTCGGATTTGAGTGATTCCAAGTGCGTTGGATGCATGACGAAGAGTTCGATCCGCTCCGGTGGTTGGATTATCTGTAGAGTGGTCGAGACATGAGGGGCATCGTCCTTTTTGTGAACATTGCCGGGTTCCCGATTGGCCCGGGTCTTCGTTGTTCCGGAATCCTATCAGCTCACGTAGTTCGTCGATTCACTTCAATCGTTCATCGACGTCAATTGGACTCCTGTGGATCGGATAGTGACGTTCATCGTCGCTCTTTAACACTGAACCGTTCGTGGAGACCTATAGGCAATTTTCGATGCCTACAATGGTGACATAAATGTTGTTGAATATTGCGTTGAGGATGGTCACTGAAAGTTCGTGGACTTAAGATGTCTCCTAAGGTTATCTTCTTTTATATATAAAACCCAATTTCAAGCATGTTAAAACAGTTTTCCTTGTGATCATCTTCATATTCTGTGATAAAGAATTGGATATATCTTATCTGAGAATATGTCCGGAACATTCACTTCCTTTTTTGCTATCCCTAATAGAAATGTGATGCCTTGTCAAATTTTAAGATCCCTTCTCAGTTAGTAGCTATTCTGTACATTACAAGCTACTTGCCTAGGATCTGTCACAATCTGGTGGGTTGGATTGGATGTTTCTGCTATAAATTTATTGAATAAAGAGTGAATAGGTGTAATTTGCGATACTTAATGCTACCTGATTTAGATTTTAACAGAAAACACTGATGTGCGCCTATTTGGTGTAATTTAAATGGATGTCGGAGAATTATTTCATAATTCCATCTCTTGGGGAACTTATCTAGAATTCGAACTTTTTGTGGACCAATGTCAAAATTCCCCAGACGTTTATCATACGTATCTCTAGTTAGCGCTGAGCTCTTTGCGCAACCTAATTACTTTTTGTTTACACACACACTATGCGTTTAACATACATGTACCTTTTAGCATTTAAGTCCCAAAACCTTGAGTTTTTTATCTTTAAATTAGAATAAATTATTGTAGTAATAATTTAGATAAGACTGAAATAATTAGGAAAATATTTTATAAAATCGTAGAGAACCTCATTCCGTTTCTATGCTTCCTAATTTTTATCTAATGATTTTCCATTACCCCTCTTTTTCTCCGCAAAAAAGTCTACTTCTAAATTTTTGTCAAGAATTTCTTGGTGAAAGTTTATCATATTTTAGAAACACTCTGATGGTCTGGCTATTAATCATGTTAATCGATTGAAAATGCAGTGTAATGCAATAATTTAGTCATGAGCTTATAATCTATTATCTTCTGCTACAGGTAAAAGGCACTTCAAATCTCCCAAGTATGGTGGAGAAGCCAACAGATGCTTTGACGAAAGTCAACATCTTCAATAGTTCCAAAAAAGGAGGTGAGCTTATGTGCTAAATATCATTCTATTTTTTAAGGGTTTATTATTATTTTGATGAATTCTGAGTACTTCGATGCATCGGCTCTTCATTTTAGCCATCAAGTTTTGAAAATAAAGGTATAGGATCCAGTCATCTATTGATTGCAAAGTTACCTGGCTCCAACCCACTAAATATTGGGTACCTATAATGTGTGAATCTCTGTGCTTTCTGATAATTTGATTTTTACCGTCAAAAATATTTGTGCAGAATCGCCAGGGGTATCTTCAGTTCTCAGGCCAAATTTCATCCTCAAGCCACGTACTGCTGCACCAACAAACGAAGAAGGTCCACCGATGAAGAAGCCTTCAATAGAACCTGCATTGAAAAATAATGACGAGAGCACGACGAAGACAGATGGAATACAAACCCCTAATGGGCTTCTATCTCTCTGTCAATATGATAGCGATGAAAGCGGCTGAGGCGGAGAGATTTTGTGTATGTATTTGAGTGCCAAATTTTTGTCATGTATTTATAGATTCACCTCCTCTGCTAACGGGTTTAACTATTTATCAGATATCTCACGCTGCGGCCATTGGGAATTGATAGTGTGTGTAAATAATCCGCGAAGTAAGGATACAAGGAGTTTCTTGATCGCGTGCGGTGGCAACGTGTACCATCAACTATGCTTTGGCAGAACTAAAAGCAATGGTGAACATATTTCAAATGCTGAAACTCATTGGGAGAAAATCTAAAGTTTCAAATTTCATTGCAAAACTGTCATTGGATATGATGTAATACACATAAATTATCTACAGATAAAGTTTTAATGATTTTGATGTCATTCATGTATCAGGGTGCAAAAAGTTAAAAACAACTTCTGCTCGAAACATTGATCCTAAAAATATATGATACGCAAGTAAAATACGTTGAGATTCTTTGTAACTTTGTTTCTAGATAGTCGATATGCAGTAGTTGATCATATCTACCGACGAAGATTTTTATTTGAAGTTCTAAATTTTATAAGTTTTGAATGATAGTTCCATGTTTTGAATGGTAGCATAACCCAACTCGAAGATTTTTATTTGAAGTTCTAAATTTTATAAGTTTTGACTGATAGTTCCATGTTTTGGATGGTAGCATAACCCAACTCGATATTTGCTGCTACTTTTCATCATGTATTGTTCAAACTATCTTGTCTGAGAAAAGATGATCATCACATTCCAAACCATGAAGCACAAACAAGATCATGAGAAGAAATATCCCAATTCTGATGACTAGAATCAATTTTCTTGATGAACAAAGATTAGAATTCTGAATGTTCTGGAGTCACCTAACACAAGAATTCTTACTGATAATCTGTACAAAGAGGCTCTTACGGCCGCTAGGAAAGAATGTAATTCATCGATACATGATTAATAATCTACAAAACTGTCAAAATTTCTTTAGTCATGAAAGAATGTGATTTATTGGTTTGTAGATGCAGTCGCTGTTCGATGATTGCTTCCAAGGAGAATCACAATGACAGTAACATCATCATGGTATTCTCTTCTTCTGCCTGCTGGAACTCTCATCAATTCTTCGAGAGTCAAACCTGCGATGTACAGATTACACGATTAGAAACGATTAGGAGTAAGACACAAAATTTTCACTATAAATGTCACTTTTTGGATAAATGCAAGTTCCAAGTGAGATTGCTCTCCTGCTGCTTATGTAACGCCTAATACCAGGAATGTTTAGTTTTTCCTCTATTACCATACATATGATCTATGATATGTGAAAATCTGTATGGTACATTTGTAGTCTTTGTTCACGTCAAAAATGTGCACAATATGAAGCATGTGACGTTCCCTTTTGGCAAAATGCTACTTTGTTTGTAGATTGCTTTGTTATCTGTCGATCCTTTCATATGTGAATAAAAACTGAGATATGTATGTAAAATGAGTTGAGTATACAAAGGAATATGATTATATAGACGTGCATTAGTGTCTGACTTTTGGCTAAATCACGATGTATGGCTATGAGTAATTGGGGCAAGATATCGGTTATCATTCCCATCATATCCTACATACAATTTCAGCGATATTGTCACCAGAAAGGTATTGATTCCTTAAAATGAATGAGAATGATCATATATAACTATTTCCTAGGCCCAATGCTCAGAGCCTTATCTACGACTCTGAAAACTTCAATTCAGAGCAGTAAAACTTTCGTAAGCTAGTCAAGACTATAAATCCTACTCCAAAGGGTGCTTTGGAGTTGGATATTAGAAGGTATAGGCGTATAGCCTGTTTCCAGAAGTTTATGCTCATTTCATTAATCGATGATCGAGCAACAAGTAAGAATCATAACATGACGGATTTTTAAACCTAGGATCATGAGCTAGATGAGACACAAACCTTTTAAAGTCTGATTCAGGGGTCTTATTCAATGAATGGCTTAAATGTTGTTTCCACAGGACAAATTCAGCTTAATGCTTCTGATCGTGATATATAAGAAAATTTTGCCAATTTGCGCCATAGAACAAAATATCACAACAGAGGCTTCTTAGTGCATCCGTTAGAAAAAGTAATTAACATTACAACTAATATGGCACAGAGGTTTAGAGGTAGATGTAAGAGAACTTGGTCCAATTAAGAAGGATATGATAATATTTAACGGAGGAGACGAACCAAAATAAAGTTGAATGGAAGAATAAGTTTCAATAGCAAACCCCAAAAATTTGGAATAAAAAATTTGGAATAAAGACTTTGTTATTGTTGTATCAAAATTTCATAACTGAGGAGGAAAATAACCCCATAATACAAAGTCGTTTCGAGAAGTTTATCACAATAATATAACTTTTTTTTAATCTTATGAACATATTCTTTCTCAACAAGACAACAACTATAGTAGGGTGAAATAGTTCAAGGATTGCATAGCCACTTAACTAGTAAGCTCAAATAAAAAGAAGCAGCTCTCGGGGCATATAAATCAACTTCGGACTGCATAGTTTATGAGATTGCATCAGCTACTTTACTGTGCATTTACCACTGATATTATGAGTGCATGAGCTTCAACTCACACATAGATTGTTACATAATCCTAGATATATTAATAAATCATGCTTACTATAGCATAGTGAAATTGTTAAACATATCCAATTGGAGATCATTCACTTTGTATTTTACAAAACTTCTTCTCATACTCTTATGAAATATGATACAGGAGTGAATTATTCAAGAATTTTATTGATCATCTTAAAAACATTGCATTCCAATAAGCCCACGTAACAGTAATTCAATCTTATGCCTCCAAATCGGCAATGAAAATAGAACAAGAAACAAGTCCTTGAGGTGGAAAACCGTGAAGTATGAAGAGTGTTTTCTTAAGAATTTAAAATATCAAGAAGACTAGCACATATATGTTAGATCAGATGACTACTTAAGTTTATGGACCAATCATTGTGATGCATTTTGCTGCAAAACGATAAATTTGAGATTTATTCCTCACAAATTATAACCAGAAACACATGTGCATGTTTCAGAAGAGAGATATCATGGAACCCCAAATTATAATTTATATTGAGTTGAAAGACATGATTTCCAAGTACTTGAAAATGTCATACCTGCATTTTTTGCAGCCTTCGAAACAAGCTGCTGCACAAGAAACTCCGCTGGATTACCCGACGGTGAATTGAGAATAAAATATTGTACAAGATTCACAGCTTCCTCATTGCTGAAGAAGTCGAACAAACCATCACTAGCAATAATCCCAAAATGATCACCTTCGGAAACTTTGTGCACACAAAGTGATGGTTGAGTAGAGACATATGGGGGAGATACAAGTTTTGGGACTCGAAGAATACCCATCAAAGCATCATTCAATTTTTTCTGTATACATAATGAAACAAAGATATTAGAATCTAATAGAACAGCCGAAAACTCAGTTTGAAAGGAATGTATGTGTGGATTAATTGCAGATATACCCCACTATAGTTCTATTGTTGCAGATAGACCACTGAGTGATGTTTCGACTCTTTCACCCTCAGATAAAGAGAATTTTTTTTCTAATAAATAAACCTCCTAAGGGTAAAATTGTCACAAGAATTCACTTAGAGGCCCTATCCACAATTTGGTGATAGTACAAGGGGTCTATGAGCAATTAACCCTCTTTGTATTGACCCTACCTTCTTTAAATACCCGACCCCAAACGCCCGAGTTAGTTTCAGTCTCCCTTTCACTTTTCCACCAATAATTGTACCTGGCTCATTAGGATGATCACTTAAAAAGCGAGAGCGTTCTACTTCATTATCAATTGAATGAGAATCATTAAGCTGAACAGCCATTAATCCATTAGTTATACCTTCACTTGTGGCCAATATAGCTCGACTGTCACCTAAGCTAAGTGTATACAAGTCTTGACCATAGAGGAGCACAACCAGAACACAAGATCCGATAGAAACTAGATCAGGACGACCATCCATCGCTAGCTCAACCGAATACAAGAAATCATTTTCAGCCTGCTCAAGTGCTTGTTGAAGACAGGATAGTACACTTTGCCTAAATCCATCCTCTTTTTCTCCATTTTGTAATGTATTCAAGTTTATTCTAATGTTTTCATATAAACTTCCAGCCAAAAAATCAGCTGCGTCTCTCCCATTAAATCCATCATATATAGCACAAAATAGCCATCCATTTTCTTCTGAACAAACAGCTTGTACTCTATCTTCACCCGCAGCACCACCAGCCATTTGAACTTCCATAGCATTGAGAAAGCCATCAGTTTTTGAAGGAGCACTCATCGATCTTAAGGCAGTTGTATCCCACTCTATATCATCACTTTGAGGAGATGAGCAATTGCTAAGGTTAGAAACATTGCTTTGTAAAGAAGTTGATAAGATATCTGCACTTGAAAGTGAAGGTGAAGAGGGAACTCTTTGAAATGTTTTTGGAGAGTCTAAACCAGGCAAAAGCCCTGTTCCTATTAAACCGTTGCAAATATTTGTATTTGCTAATGTAACATTAGCACTCAGAGCTGCCCCTGATAAGCAAGAGAAAGTACTCTTATTTGATTGTTTCTTTATGTCTTTCTCCAACGTCGAAATCTCTTTAGCATTGTTGGTTTCCTTCCATCTCGGTCCAAGACATTGGTACCCAAAGCTTACATTGAGTTGTCCATCACATTCAGTGAACATTCTACTCAGCATGCTTTACAAAAGAATGCAAAACTTATGTTAGAAGCTAATTGTATTCAACATAAAAAGAAAATGTATAAAAGGATCATGAACATTTATCTTTAATAATTTACAAATTATATTAGGAAAATTGCACACTGGGTAAAGTTCCCAAATAATTAGAGAGGAAAAGAACTCTTTGGATTCATAGCATATATCTATGCATAAACATTTCAAAGACTTATAGTCAAGCTGAAATTTTGCAATCTTGAGAGGTGTGCAACTTACTGATAGCATTTGATATTTTCAAGTTTTTGGGTTAAAACCCTTATTGTTCACCAGTAATTCATCGAAAAGTTTAAAGTAAGGAACTTATCAATCTTACTAAATGCATGAAAAAGAGAAGAAAAAAATATATTGTGTCATGCCTATATTGGATCTAGAGAATATTAGCAACCCACAGTTGAGAAATTTAGAGAATAATTCGGTGACAGACAACGATTTAGGTAGATGCACATTTTCGCTAGAGTTAGAAAATTCATATCATGTACGTCCGACATGTACGTCCGATGCTAATTAGAAACACATACCGAAGTAAAGTATTCATTCAGTAAAATAGGATCCGAGATAATTTCTATCCTAACCATGCAATAACTATTCCAAAAAAAATCCATATAAGCTATGCACAGAAAACATTATGGAAATAACATTCATAAAGCTATTGTTAACAAACATGTTCTCATTAGTATGCGCAGTATTATATAGCCGAATTGACAGTTGATGCGACAAGCAATTCAACGTGCATATTCATAGACATACAAATCTACAATCAAGAAAGTTACCAAGCCACAAAAGTAACGCCTAGTAGAAGCACGACAGTCTTGCAGCATGATGTATAGAAGTTTTAAGTCAATCAGGAGCCTAAAATAGTTGATTCCGGGGGTTTAAAGAATTGAAGAGAAGGAAGAAAAGAATATTTCTAAAATCAAAAAAATATCTAGGGGCTTAAACAAAAAAGTCCAAGAATTATCAAATATACACTGTAATTAATGTTGGTTCAGGAGAATGATCAAGCAAGTTTTGTCACAGAAGGACAGGAAGTAGATACCGCTGCAAGTTTCAGTTATTTGTGTTGAAATTAGGCTACTTTAAAGTGATCAGACAAATCAAATGATCAAAGTTTTATTGCAAAAATGGAGAATTCATTACAATAATGGACAACAAAGTAGATGTAAATCAAATATGTCTACAGATTCTTAGAACCAGCTATCCAAAACAAAACAAAAAAATGAAATTGTATTGTTAAATAGGGAATCCATTAATTCAAATATTAGGAAAGAGAGTGAGATTAAGTTGGCTAACTTTTCTTCAGTTCTTTCAGATCCCTTCATTAAAAAAATCCAAAATTATTGGAAAAATAGTGGATTCATCGATATGTTGGAGAGAGGAAACTGATTCTCATAGAGTAACAGCGATCAAATATCACTCAAAACAACATTTAACAGAAAACTAGATGAAATCCGCAAATGGGCATTCAGTTTTTAGACGTAACCATCCAAATTCATCGCAATATTTGACCTAAAACCCCTATTTAATCAAGCAAGATTAATATACAATTGAAAGATTGATTCTTGCACTAATGGGTCCATAGATTTTAAACCCAACCATTAAAAAAAAAATCAAAATTTTAATTAAAAAAAAGCAGAGAATTGATCTAATTATCGAACAATAAACGACATAACTGAAGAGAAAAAAATAAATTGGAAAACAAAGATTTAAGCGCCACTTACACGAAGAGATACTATTCAGCTGTTGTCAAGAATCTAGAGAGAGAAAGAGTTTTAGAGAGAGAGAGAGGGGGAGTTTTAGAGAGAGGGAGGAGAGAGATTTATAGAGAGAGAGAGAAGGAATCGTGAGATTTGATGGCTGGTAGGGGACGAGCGAAGCTCGCGTCCGCTGAACTCTTATTTATTTATTTTTCTGCGGCTTATTTTCACCCTGGTACCCTAAAGTTTACGCGTTTCTACACTTTGATACCCCCCAAAGTATTATTATTGAACACTTTGATTATCCCCAAGTTGCAATCATATTTCGGTTAATTTTTTTTTATCGGTGCTTAACGATTGGGTAAACTGGGTCTAAATATACCCCGTGCTAAATACATTATACAGATTTCGCAGAAAATCTGAAGGGAATTTGCATGGGGGCGTCAAAGTGGAATGCAATCGTAACTTTAGAGGGTCGAAATGTTAAAATATCCGTTTCATATATTTTGAAAATTAAAATGTTGAATTCGATCGGATTTAAAGAAATCCGTTTGGATATGGATATTGCGTGTCCATATCCTACGGTCACGGATTCATGATATATGTTGGCATCTGAGGATGATACGTATAAGATTTAATATTTATATAATCAAGTGTGGCTTCTTTGCATTATTGAATGTATCCTCCCTTATCCAAACACCCCTATTTAACTTTTTGTGATTTTAGGATTAGGATAACCAATGCAACTTTTCCCATAAAGTTCTCGAAATTCCAAACTTTACGTACAAAGAAGGCAAGGGCACAGGGGACAAAAATTTTTTTTAATGAAAAATATCATCACAATGATCTAACCTCATCAAAAAAAAAAAAAAAAAAAGCTCAACAAGGAGAGGAGAGTTCTTCATCAGAGCCTTCATCACCCGTCCGAGCCTTAGTATTAGCCTTTAGCATTAATACTAAGAAGAGCCATTACCTCGTTTTAGCCGAGGTATACGCTTATAGCTTCTAGATCTCACGCGGATCGACGAAGCTCTGCTTCTATATCCCTTCGCGGATAGACGAAGCTCTGTCCGATTTATCCGGATCAGAAAGTTTCTAGATCTCACGCGGATCAACGAAACTCTGTCCGATTTATCCGGACCAGATCTGAGTGCCCCGGTGGTCCACGGATATCAACATCCCCGTCACAGGCAAAAGACCCACGCAAGCAAGAGATGACAAACAGATCTTGCGTTTGTTTGAAAAGAGTTGTATCTATTTTGTTTTCATTGTGTACCGGTCTTATAAAAAGGCTATCTTTTTATTTCATTGTAACGATCAAAGTTGTAATGAATGCAGCAATGAATACAACAACTTTTTCCGCAAACAGACTGGCGACCACAGTGGGAGCCAACGGCATCGCAACCGACGCCGTCGTGACGCAACCAGCACTCAAGATCGGGGTGAATGAAGAACACGAGCTCGATCAACAACGGTTCAAAGAAGGCCTCTCTTCCTCCTCCTCCAGATCCGCCTCTCCAAACGGGTACAGAAAGGTAACCTCTTTCATAAATGATTGCAGGTCCTTCGGTTCAAAAATCCAAGACCCCGTTGCCGCCTCTGCACTTGCACCACGCGACGTCCCCACGTCGTCCAACCTGGTCGAGATCGCAGATCCGGATTCCTCTTCCGCCGAGGAGATGACTTCTGAAGACGCTCCGGCATTATCAAAGAGAGCACGACAAAGACAGCGTCAACGTCTTGCTCGACAGCTGGCCGAGGCATTGGAGCCAATGGATGGGATCCGCTATAACATGGATCTAAAATCCAGGCAACGCCAGGAGCAACCACGGCAAACAACCAGCCCCTCCTCCGAAGAAGCCCAAAAAAAAAAAAAAAAAAAAAAAGCCGATAACGGGAGGCGAGGTGGCATATCACGCACATGTTTCCTCGTACTGTATAATAATTATAAAAAAAAAAAACCTATCATTTTGTAGATTCCAAGGATCATCAATTTTATTGAATTCCAAATATAACCTCCCAAACAATTTGGTGAAAGTAGGTATTTACAATTTTACGCCAAGATAATATCGTGTAATTAACATACGACACCAATATAACGAAGAAAAAATATCGTATTTGCAATCCACTAATGGATGGAAGGCAAAGGTTTAGGCCACCGATACAAAAAAAAAAAAAAAAAAAAAAAAAAAAACCTTTCTCTTAAAAAAAAAAAAAAAAAAAAAAAAAAAAAAAATCCTTGAGAATATCCACTACTTCCTAAGTTTGAACCATAGCCAGTCTAAAAGATAAACATAGCTTTTTTTTTGTTCTTGCTAATGTTGGAATCCCTTAAATCACACAAACAAAACTTTTTTTGAGGACCACCCCCACAACCGATGGTCCAAATTAAATGTTTGCAGCTGCAGATGAAGTGGAGGGGAATAAAAACTTTATATAGCTTTTCAAGAAATGGGACTATTTTGGTGCGTATCTTTTTGACGACCGTGACATTTTCCAAGTACATTTTGATAATAGAACGAATCACAAGGGTCCGTAGTAAAATTGTCATGGCGTGGGTAGTTTCCAATGTCACTTTCATTTCTCTACCACAGCCAACATATCTGACTGCACATGGACTTTTTAGCCAGTCTGAAGAAAAGGAGTGGGAAGAAGAAGAAAAGGAATTATCTTGTCCATTGGCAGCAGATGGATATGAAAATTCTTCCTCAGAAATTAAACTTTGATGCACTGTTCATGAACAGTGCGTCCCGCCTCCAGGGGCTGACGCCTCACATGTCCCCTCAAGTAATTAAGACGGTATACACAGAATTGTGTTCAAAAGAATAGATTCTGTCATAAGCAGCAACATATGAATGTTTAGCTCATTCCATTCTGATCATAATCATCTTCTTCAACTTCTTTATGCATTTGAGAACTTATCATGTCGGTGTCATTAAAACTCTTTAATCAAGTTGAGGCATTAGAATTTGAACCAAAAGCTTCCTTCGCTGTGATATTTCCTACAAAATCCATCACAAGAGAAATCAAGGGGGCTATTTAAAACTCTGATTTATTGCCTGCTTACTTGCAACAGATCATTAAGCAAGCTAACATCAGTGCGACTAGCTTTTAGCATGTAGAGATTTGGTGAAAGTAGGAGCTCAAATGTGTACTCAAACTTGGGGGAACTTTGGCTTGAAAAACCTAGCATTCTCCAACGAGTGACATTTCAAGAGCTTATGTTAATTATTAAGGGGGGAAATGATGTATAAAAGCAAATGATTTCTCCACATCATGGCCAAAACAAAATTTGAAGGCACATGAGAGCAAAACATGTAAATTACCTCAGAGGACAATCAGAGGCCAATGCTGTAGAAAACCTTTGTCAGTCCTTTCTTTGTTCGAATCTGGGTAACCTAAAAGAAGCATCAAGGGAATTGTTCAGAGAGAGGTGTATACGGTTAACATGTGCTTATTAAGAAAACTAATTTCTTATGCCAAAAATCTTCAATTTCCCATTTATTGGCAGCAGTTTTGTTAATTTCATTAGTTACTAAAAGTAGATATAAGCATTAGACTGTACGAAGTAATGGTTCGTAGTAACCAAAAAAAAAAAAATTTGGTATAAGTCATCTAAAAGTGATCAAAGAGAGAAATGTGGTGTTATAACAAGTGAATTGAACCCTATGATCTTCAAATGAAAATCAATAAGAGATAGAAGCAATAAGGGAGAGGTAAACCATAAACTTGAGAAAGACATGCACCAAAAAAGACAGAATAAGTAACTTAAAAGAAGCATCAAAGAAGGAGTTCAATTAGAAACATATAAGGTTAACATAAATTAATTAACAAAGCTAATTTCTTAAGCCAAACCTTCAATTTCCCGTTTTATCGGTAGCAGTTTTATTAGTTACGAAGTGTAGATAGAGAAAAGAGTCAGTAGGTTAGCTTTAGACAAAACAAGGTAAAATTCTTAGCTGACAAAAAAAAATGTCGTAAAATGTCATCTAAAAATGATCAAAGAGAAAATTTTGTGGTATTACAGCAAGGGGATCGAACCCTATGATCTTCAAATAAAAATCAATCACAGGATAAACCATAAAAGTAAGAAACAACATCTACCAAATGACACAATGATTACATGGCTCTACAAATGTCCTCATCCGAGGGAGAGAACTAGAGAGAGATTGCCAATGCAGTAAATTTGAGTACAAGCAATCACATGTGCCTTCTCTAAATCCATATAAGCCAAAATCACACCTTTCCCGCTATTCCCTTCCCTTGATTTCTACAAAAATAACAACAAAACCTTTATCTAAAATGTTTGGAGTCGGCTACATGAATCCTATTTTTCCATTCTATTGAATCCGTTCTATTCCGGGCCATCTCTTCCATTAAGTTAACTATTATCATATCCTTCTTAATTTCTTCCAACCAAGTTCTCTTAGGTCTACCTCTATTTCTCTTTGTCTCATTAACTATAATAATAGGTCTCTGTTGCATAATTGTGTGATTCTCTAGACCCGCACCCCGATATTGTCTTATGGTACCTAGGAACTGATCCCCATTGCATATGCAAACTGATTCCCTCCGATACACAAATTTGTTCCCCAAAATTGGTATACTACTTATGGTGAAAAGACATGTGCAAGATGCGATGCAAATGTGCACAATCAAGTGAAGGGAGGCACATGACAGAATATATGAGTCAATGACTTTTAGTGTAACTACATACATATGTTAATAGAACATGAAATGAAACCATGATTGCAACACAAACTGTGTGAAAAGAAAATTTGATTAAAATAAACTCCATAAAAATAAAGTATTTAAGTATTTTATATGAAAAAATATTGAAATGCATAATTAACTTTCTAGTTTCTAGTTTTTTATTATACATTTTGGTAAATTACAAGCACCCCCAAAAAAATTTAAAACATACCATTGACCAAACTTTCCTACTAAAGCACACTTCCCTCACCCAAAAAAAAAATCCGTCGAATCTAAATTTTCTAAGTGATGAATTGCATACCCCTATTCATACCACGATCTGCTACATATCGCGTACTAATAAACTATGCTCCGTTATACATGATCATACCACCTTAGTCTATTCTCTTTCATGTTATCCTTAATAGGAGCAACCACTAGTATACTATGGATACACTCATTTTTTATCCTATTTTTTAGTGTATACCACAAGACCATCACAACATTCTCATT